CCTCATTTTGATCTAGGGATTCTTATTTTCTTTTTTTGTAGTGAGAAAGCAGAACAGGATTTTGAACTGTCAAGGTCTTGAATGTAAAGATTAGTTGCTCTGATAATTAACTATTAATGAGATCTTATTGGAGTACAGGATTACTATTACAGAAGAGTGTAGTTCATACTCGCTTACTTTAGAGTGCATTGACCCATGTTGTCAAGCCAGCTCTGCCTATGTAGAGCATCTGCCTACATAATAGGACTATGGTACAGAGCTCAAAAAACTGCCTTAAGCATTAACCTTCATCTTTCCCCCCTATGACTTACCAGTATTGGGGTAGCCCAGAGTCCAGCATCATTGGAGTGCTCTGCCTGAAGTAATATAGAGTCTAGAACAGCAGTTCTCAAGTTTGAGAATTGGCAAGTAATGATTTTTTTTTTAATGTTAATTCACTGTCTTTTACTAACTCATAATTACTTGTCCTCTGTTTTGTTGAAGTAATAGGTCAGACAGCACTTGCCACAGTAGTGTCTGTCAAAGTGGCTGGCCATAAAAACTCCAGCACTGCATTCATCTGAAAGACACTCTGGACGAAGGCGACTAATTTTGCCATTCTCATCCACCTTACAGTATTTCAGAATAGCCACCTTAACCTTCTTTCTCTTATGCTTATTCCGCGTGGTGTAAGACTTCTTCCTTTTCTTGGCACCACCACAAAGTCTCAATACAAGGTGAAGAGTGGACTCCTTTTGGATGTTGTAATCAGACAGGGTCTGCCCATCTTCCAGTTGCTTTCCAGCAAAGATGAGTCTTTGCTGATCAGGAGGAATGCCTTCCTTATCCTGGATCTTGGCCTTGACATTCACGATTGTGTCTGAGGGTTCAACTTGATTGTGATGGTCTTCCCCGTGAGGGTTTTTATGAAAATCTATATCTTGGTGGTGGTCCCACCTGCAAACGGGGCAAGTGAGGAGGCAGATTTAGGCCTAACGCACATAAGACAGGAAATGAGGAAGTCGCAGGTCAGGAGTGGCCCGAGAGACACGCTCTCCTCGGATGGAGGATCGGAAAGGAAGCACAAGTCATGATTTTTGCCCCCGGTGGACATTTGACAATGTCTGGAGATGGTTTTAATGGTCATGATTGTGAATATGCTACTGGCATCTAGTGGGAAGAGAGGCTAGGCATATTGCTTGACAGCCTACAATGCCTAAAGAAAGCGTCCCTTTCTCTCCCCCTAACCCAAATTATTCTCTCTAGAATGTCTCTGATCTGCCTTCTGTAATGTAGGGTGCTGATTTCTGCATGCCAAAGATCTGTGCTCAGGCTTGCATCAGGGAACCGTCCCAGTAGACAAAATGTCCTTGAAGTACCGCTGGCCTCAGGCCTTTTCAGAAACAACTAGAAGAAGAAGTGGAGTTCTTTCTATTCCACATGCTTAGCAGAAAGATCCCATTGTGCTGGGTGAGGCTGTGCTGTAGCTCAACTATGTTCTTTGCGTTTTACAAGCTAGCACTTGTCTGTCTGCCTTGTATGTTTGTCTCTCGTATGCTTTCATTACCTGATACTTAGATTATAGCAAATGATCCCATTTGTAAAATGTGAGGATATATACTCGTTTTCAGGAATAGTAGCCAATCTATTCTACTTTCTGTACCCTTCTTTAGCCTCACTTTCATGATTTCTTTCTTTTCCAAAGCCCAGAATTGTAATATATAATTTATAAATTAGTTTCACTCTGTGTTTTGACAAGCATATCATCCATATGAGCTGTATATTTTTCTCAGAAAGTTTTTATGTTGTTTATAAGCCTGCAATCAGAACATTCCTGGAATTCTTTGTTAGAGTGTCATTTTCCTTGGAGTAAATTGTTACTGAAGTCACTATTTGTAAAGCTCTATTTTAGGAACAGTGAAGTGAGGAGTGGGAAATTAGATACAATTCTGAGAAAAGATAGGTTTTGGTACAGATATAGATCTTAAGAAAAGGGGTCTAAATCTCACCCAGTTATTATGTCTCACAATGTTTTTGGATTCTTGCTGATTTTCAAACTTGAGAAATGTACAAATTCCTTTTAGGGGAAATAATTTATCTTAGATTTACAATGCTAACTTAAAATTATTTTCATTTTCATGTTCTTTAAATATTTAACTTAATATTGAAGTTTTAAGTGTAAAACAAAATGAAATTTAAGGTACAATATAACATTTTACACAAATTTAAACAGATTTGTATGTTAAAACATACTTTAAATCTAATAAATTGAAGAGCAAAGGCTGCATAGTGGAGTGGACCTGGGGGGAGGGATTGTAAAACAATGAAATAATTTTTCTTTTACTTTTCCAAGAGGGTAGTGTACAAGGAGGGAAGGGTTGGGAGGGGAGAAAAGTGCAACAATGAATGAATGAATGGAAATCCAAAGTCTCTGTAAATTTTCATTGAAATGAATAATAAATTTTTTAAAAAGTGAAAAAATCTAATAAATTGATACGATTTTGAAAAGTATTTTTATTTTATTGTTACTTTTTTGCATTAAAAGTTTTTTAAATTCATATACATTATAGTTCACACACTTCTTCCTTTTTTTATTGTGTTTTATATGATCATTCTCATACGTGTATCTAATAAGATTAATCACCATTATTGTTTCTTGGCCTTTTGGCTAAAATCATGTATAAAATTAATTACCATTGAACTTAGTCCACTATTACCTTGTCTTTTTCAGATACCACTGGATCTTTCCTAATTCCTTCACGCCTTCTCTCCTTCCACCAAACACTGCATCCTTGTGACTTCTCCTCTCCCTCACTCCTGAACCCACTAAATCTAATAGATTGATAAATTTATTAGAAGCTAAATCATTTCCAGGCTCTTTCAAAGGCAGCAGTTCCTGTACTACTGGGTGACATCTGATGACTCAATCCTCCCACAATTTTTCTCCATACAAGCTACTGTAGAACTTCAATTTATATAATACATCTTGTCATTTGACTGTCACTTCACTTGAGCACATTTATAGTGTATTCTGTTCCTTTAAAATGGATTCTTGGTAAAGAATGGAGATAAACTTATTGTCTATTTGTTTAAACCTATACTTGGACCAAGAGGCAGTCATCAGAACAAAGCAAGGAAACACTACATGGTTCAAAATAAAGAAGGGGGTCCATCAGGGATGTATTCTGTCTCCATACCTTTTCAATCTGTATGCAGAACAGATCATCCGAGACACTGAGCTGTATGAGGAGGAATGTGGCATCAGGATTGGTGGAAGAGTCATCAACAACCTGCATTATGCAGATGATACAACCCTGCTTGCTGAAATTGAGGACCTGAAGTGCTTGCTACAGAAGGTCAAGGATTGCAGCCTCCTATATGGATTGAAGCTCAACATCAAGAAAACAAAGATTCTCACCACTGGGCCAGTTGGTAGTGTCAGTATGGATGGTGAAGAGCTTGAGCGAGTTAACAGTTTTAGTTTGCTTAGCTCCACAGTCAACAGTCTTGGTAACAGCAGCCAGAAAATCAAGAGACAAATTGCATTGGGAAAGTCAGCTGTGAGGGACTTCTCAAAAGTACTGAAGAGCAACGATGTCAGGCTGGAGACTAAGGTGCACCTGGTCCAGGCTATAGTCTTTGCAGTTATGTGCTATGCGTCAGAGTTGGACAGTGAATAGGGATGATAGAATTGATGCCTTTGAGCTGTGGTGCTGGAGAAGAGTGTTGAATATACCATGGACTGCTAGGAGAACAAACAGGTTTGTCCTGGAGAGGGTGAAGCCGGAATGCTCCTTGTAGTCAAGGATTCTGAAGCTTCGTCTGACATACTTTGAGCATGTTGCAAGGAGGGACTGGTCCTTGGAGAGGGACATCATGTTTGGCAGAGTGGATGGGGGGGCGCAGGAGAGGAAGACCTTCGATGAGATGGATCGATTCTGTGACTGGAATGGTGGGAATCAGTGCGTTTGAGATGGCGAGGTTGGCACAGAATAGAACGGAGTTTAGAGCTCTTGTACATAGGATCACTATGAGTCGCAAGCGACTCAATGGCACATAACAACAACAACAACAATTTGTTTAAACAGCACACACCTATCAAAATTGCTTAAAAGATATTATTTTCATGATTATTGTTGTTGTTATGTGCTGTCGTGTTGCCTGTGACTCATAGCGACCCTATGTACAACAGGCCTAAAACCTCCTTTATCCTGTTCTAATCTTATTGTCTCCAGCACACATATCCCCATTACCAGAGTGTTGAATATACCATGGACTGCTAGGAGAACAAATAAGTTCATCCTAGAGCGGGAGAGACCAGGTTGCTCCTTGCAGACAAGGATTCTGAAGCTTTGTCTTATGTATTTTTCACATGTTGCAAGGCGGGACCAGTCCTTGGAGAGGGACATCATGCTTGGGATGGTGGAGGGACATCACAGGAAAGGAAGACTCTCAATGAGATGGATTGATTCAGTGACTGGGGTAATGGGTAGGTGTGTTGGAGACAGTAATATTGGCACAGGATAAAGCAGGTTTTGGGGCTGTTGTACATAGGGTCACTATGAGTTACAGGCAGCTCAACAGCATGTAACAACAACATCAACAATCAGACTTTCTTTTTTTTTTTTTAAACATTTTTAAGTAAACTTTTTAAAAGGTATGATTTACATTAAAATGCCAATTAAAAATGAGTGGTTTTATAAATTTTGACAAATATATCACCATTGTCACATTAAAGATACAGAACATTTCTCACCTCTGAAGCTTTTTGTGGTCCTTCCCAGCTTATTTTTAGCTACCACTCTTGGCTCCTCTCAAAACTGATTTTAATTCTATCACTATAGATCTTACTTGAATTTCACAGAAATAGACTCATAGTATGCACTCTTTTCCTTTTGAACTTTACAGGACAGAGAATTTTCAAACACATAAATGTATATTTTAAGTGTTAAGGTCCATATGACTGTCACAAGTAGTACTTGGCATGCCGGATACATAGCTTTGCTTGTCTCTCCCCACAGTGTATAACTGGACCGTAGAAGAGGTGGTGCAGTGGCTGATCACATATGTGGAGCTGCCTCAGTATGAAGAGACCTTCCGGAAGTTACAACTTGGTGGCCATGCCATGCCAAGGTCAGAAGGATACTGGGTTTCTCTCACTTGTGGATACAATGGGCAGGATTGGACCAGTTTTTACATGCTCTGGCCAGTTGAGACCTGACCATTTTCAGGGCAGAGTCTTTAGACTTCCCTTCATATAGATTGTATGCTTGTCATAGAGCAGGATGGGCACCTACTATCTATTTTTTTATTTAATAGTTTTATCACTTTTGAGAACAATGTTAAGAGATGTCATTTATTGAGTACCTAGTGCCTACTAGGCACCCCCTACACTTTATGAACGGTATCTCATTTAATGTTTGTATCAATTCTGCAAGACAGGTATTATTATTATCATCACCATTTTGCAGATGATAAACTGGTAAGGGACTTTCCAAAGGTCACATGACTAGTTAGTGGCAAAGTATGATTTGAACCTAGACTTGTGGTGTTTCTGTTTTCTTGCTTTGTCGCCTGGCAGTTGCTTCTTTTATAGCCTATGAGGCTTGTGGACCTTTTTGGGTGGTTGATGATCCTTATGTAATTTGTCTACCCTAATTAAAATGATACAAATGTTGGGCCTAACTATACAGACCTCAGTCTCCTCTCTGGATGACTCTTCCAGCAGCTGTTATATGAAAATTCTTTGCTTACTTTGCAGTTACAATATGCTAGGGCTTGGAACGGGAGTTGGAAGGGGACAGAGTACTGCTTAAATTTCTTATTATAGTGAACTAGTGACATATATCATTCAGTCAGGGATCCATTGGCTTGTTCATTCACTGTATATTAACTAGATACCTGTGTGTACTGAGCACTAGGTACTAGAGATCAAAATGACAACTACCAACCTTCACCCTCAAAGGGCTTACTGTCTGGTAAATATTCATTATTGTATGATCTATCATCTTACTATGTTGATGTATGTGGTTATGAGCTAGCAAAGGCAGAAGGGGCCCGTGACACTATTGGAATGCCTATCTGTCTCAGTCTTCAGACACAGAGCTACCACTTAGTAGCTGTGAGGCCTAGCTGACCTGACTGTTTCCTCCTCTGCTGCCTGCATTCTCCTCTTCACAACTTCTCTCTATTTTACACAGTGATAATTTTAATGTGCTTACATCCTTTTCTAGAATACTTTCCTGCCTCTCATTTCAGCTGATTTTCAAAATTATGTTGTTGTTGTCTAGTACCATTGAGTTGGAAGCAACCAATAGCTGACCCTCCAGTGGGTTTTTAGAGGCTGTTAATCACAAAGGAGGAGATTGCCCATCCTTCTGCTGTGGAGAAGCTGGTGAATTCGAAGCTCATCCCTTTGGGATTGCAGTGCAGTTTCTTACCACTAGACCACCAGAGCTCCCTTTTCACAATTTTGTTGTTGTTCTTGTGTACTGTCGAGTCAGATCCAACCAATTGCTGACCCTTCAGTGGGTTTTCAGAGGCAGTTAATCACATAGGAGGAGATTCCTTATCTTTCTCCTGCAGAGCAGCTGGTCGATTTGAACTACACATTTTGGGGATTGCAGCACAGCTTCTTGCCACTAGGCCATCAGAGCTCCCTTTCACAATTTTAGGGGGAAGGAATTACTTACCTTATTTTTGGGTGAGTGAATGGAATTGAAAATATTTTATTTAGCAAAGCTGGAAAATGGCAGAATTGTAATCTGAACCTGATGTTCTTGCCCCTAGCTGTCTTGCATTTTTTCTTCCTCTTGTCTCATATAGTTGAAAGTAGATTTACTATAATATTAGGTTAACAAAACTTTCCTGAGTATGTAGCACTTGCTATACACTCTGCTGGTCCCTGAGGACAAAGAGATGCTTTTGACTAGTTCTTTGAGGAATCCTGTGTTTAATGACCTAGATACAGACAAGTGACTAGATGGTTGACTTTGAAGTTTTAGGATTTAGATTTCTTTGCTAACTACAAAAACACAGGATACCCATAGAAATAGTAGTGTTGCCTTGTGAATTCCTGGGTCATTTATTCTATCTTGAGGAATCGCTATGGCTTAGACTAAAACCCTAAGGTATAGGATAAGAAACCAGTTCTTAAGTATGACCTCACTTAGTTCTCTTGAGGCTAGGAATGTATACATAAAACCAGGCCCAGATAGAGCCAACTGGACACAAGATTAGAGAATGCCAATCTGTGGCACCTTGGTGGCAGAAGTAACTATGGACTCTTTATTGCATAGGGCAGGTTTAGGCCCATCATTGGGAAGCATAGAGTAATGGGAAGAGTCTAGGAGACTTAAGTTTGTTTCCTGGCTTTACAACTCTACTCCTTACCTGCTTTGTGACTTTGGGTACTTGATTCTATTCTGAGTCTCAGTTTTCTTATTTAAAAAAAAAATATAGATGTTAGTAGAACTAAGTTCTGTGAAGGTTGTTGTGAGAAGTAGAGTATCGTTTGTGAAGTGTTGTAACAGTGCCGGATATGCTCTAAAATATGCTTAGTAAATATCAGCTCCTTTATAATTTCTGTCATTGCTTAGACGTAGATAGCCCTCTAGCTCTTAGATTCCTTTAAAAAGGAGCAGACTGTAGATAAGTTTACAAATTTTATTTTAATCATCTAGTTAAGTTCAGTGCATTTGGGAGATATGCCCTAAAGAACCTCAGAAACTCTCAGGCATGTAAGGAGCATCTGATTTTATCACCATTTACATAGAAGGAGTCCCTGGGTCATGCAAATGGTTAATTCACTCGGCTAACAGCTGAAAAGCTGAAGGTTTGAGTCTACCCCACAGGCATCTTGGAAGTAAGAGCTAGTGATCTACTCCTAAAAAATCAGCCATCAAGAACCCTATGGAGCATGGTTCTCTTCTGATGCACATGAGGTCACCATGGGTTGGAATTGACTCAATGACTATTTTTTTTTTAAAATACATACAAGGAAACTGAGACCCCAGGGAAGAGGCAATGATCAAGTAGTTAGAGTAGCTATGATCAAATAAATGAATGATTGGTAGAACTTGAACTAGAAGACATCTCTCTTAACCCTTCTCTTATTTTTTTTTTAACCCTTCTCTTATGTTGTTGTTGTTGTTAGCTGCCGTTGAGTTGACTATGACTCATGTTGTTATTGTGTACCATAGAGTCGGAACTGACCCATAGCTGACCCTCCAGTGGGTTTTCAGAGGCAGTTAATCACATCAAAGTTAGTTGGCTGTCTTTCTCCTGTGGAATAGCTGGTGGATTCAAACTGCATACCTTTGGGATTACAGCACAGCTTCTTACCTTACCACTAGTTTATCCTATAAGCTATGGATCTGAACCTTGCCCTATCCTGTGTCATCCTTACCATTCCTGGTATACTCAAGCCCATTGCTACAGTCCTGTGTGGTATTGATTGCTTTCAATAGCCAGAGAAATAAGTAGTTCCTTCTTTATATGCTGACTGGTGTATAAGTCATATACTGTGATGCAGAGGCATCTTTTCTTTCTTTTTTAAATTTTATTATTTTGTGTGTGTGTGTACTGTCAGATTGTATCTGATTGGTACAGGAGGAGATTGTCCCTCCTTCTCCAGCAGAGCATCTGGTGGTTTCGAACCACGTACCTCTGGGATTGCAGTGCAGCTTCTTACCACTAGGTCACAAGAGCTCCCTATAGAGACATCTTTTCTACCCATACATCACTTTACATATAGTACCAAGTCCTCGCATGTGGGGCCCAGACAAGTAGTTCTTAACCTTTCATATCTTACACTCCTGTCTTCCTACACCCACTACTGCATTCCAGCAGAAGAGAAACAAATCCCAACTTTTCCCATGTAATTTTCTTGTATACAGTCTCTCTGTTATTATTTATCATTGATAATATGGTTGAAGATAAAAAAAATTACAGTAATCTGATTAGGAGTAAATTGTATTTCAATGATTCAAATACAAACTAAGAAGACTAATGCAATTTTTTGTCATTGGCAAAAATATTACATATAATGTATAGCAGGTTAGTATTAGGATAATTCAAAGGTTCCTCAGAATCATTTGACACTATGGTATAAGGTTTTGACCTGAGCTGTGTAGAATAATGATGTATGGAGACAGATATGTAGTTGATAATCCCTGGAAGTAGAGGAATAACAGAAGATTGTCACTGATGGATAATCCATTGGTGTAGACTCTGTTCTAGAATGCACAGAGAGCAGTCACTTAGAGCTAGACGTCATGAGAGTGTTCTTAGAGGAGGTGGGAATCCTACTGAGATCCTTTTTGTCTTTGTTGGCAGAGAACTGACCCTCTGCTCTTTGCCTCAACAGGCTAGCTGTAACCAATACCACCATGACAGGGACCGTTCTGAAGATGACAGACCGGAGCCATCGGCAGAAGCTTCAGCTGAAGGCCCTGGACACAGTGCTTTTTGGGCCTCCTCTCTGTGAGTCCTGTGGAGAGAAGGGCTGCTGATGTGCCATGGACCCCAAGGCTGGCCTGAGGTCCTGAGCCACCTAGGCACTCGTGCAAAGCAATACCTCTATTCTTTCCACTGATGCTGAGCTATGGAGTGATCTTGTCTTTAATCCACCTAGACAGCAACACTTATTTCTAAAAGATATTCAGGAAATATCTTTTGTGCCAGTGAAGTGCTGAACCATTTAGGGAAACCTGAATATATCATATTCTACCCTAAAGTGATACAATGAGTGTTCTACCGAAGCACACTGTGCCTCTGACCCAGAGAAAGGGTGGAGAAGAGAGATAGTCTAAAGAAGTGTCATCTGCCTCTGCCTTTAATGAAGGATAAAGTTTTGTTCTGGGAAGGTGGCAGAAGGGGGCAATCTAGGTGGAGGAAATAATTTGAGCAAGAATATAAGAGGTAATAGTGCAAGGTAAGTTCAAGGATAGTGAGTAACCCATACTCACTACCCTTAAACCTGTTCTGCTTTATAGCAACCTTCTATTAGGTTTCCAAGGTTTTAAATATTTATGGAAGGAAATTGTCTTTCTCCCTCAGAGAACTGGTGAGTTCAAATTACTGACCTTTTGATTAGCAGATTAATACAGTACAAATGACATTACCAGGGCTTCTTAAATAACTTGTAAGGAGAGAAATTCCATTTAGCTGTTGTTTGCTGTCAGTTTAGACACATAGTATATATTTACTTATTACTGAATGTCATTGTGCCCTTGGATGAACAAGTGGACTAAGTGGCTTTGCACTGAAGAAAGAGAGACACACATAGGCCTAAGATAGGGTGGTCTCTTCAGCCTGTAGCTAATTGAGAAAAATTAAGTAAAATAATCCCACAGATTTGCAATGTGTTTTAAACAATCCTTTTATTAATTTTCTTGTTCTGTCAATCTTGGGGTGGCAGTGGTGATGAGGGGGAAACAAACTTAGTGAAATTTCTGAGAAAATGAGCCTTTACAAATAAGCTGTCAGTGCCCATTCTCTGCCTTTTGGGAGCTGTTGGCATCAGCTGAGGGTGCCAGTAGCAGAAAGCTATTGAGACAAGGAACAGTCCAGAAAAGCAGCTAGAAATTAGGGTCACAGGTAGTACAACATTTCCCTGTCCATGCCTTTGACTTGACAAGTACACAACCTGATGTCTCACTACAGCTGGGCCTATAACCTTTGAAAATATGAAACAGAACAATGTGGGAGAAGGTTATTCTAATATCCTTTGTTGCTTATTTTTTTGAGTTGTTGTTCTTAGGGCACATTTTACTTATCATTTTCTGGTAAGTTTTGAATGAATGACACACGATTGACTACCCTCTTTATGAGACTCACCTTCTATACCGAGCAATGGCCTTTTATTCATTCACTAACATTTCTTGAGCATCTGCTATGGCAGGGCTCTTGCTTTCCTATACTTTGTCTAAATGGAGATAGGATTTTCAGTAAATATAGTAAATGGTCAATAAATGTAGTGGATATTATAGGTATTAGAAAAATATGTCCAGGCTTTAGTAGGGGGCAAAAAATAGTAAGAAGTGTCTCTACTGGTGGTCAGGAAGTTTTATGGAAAAGGCACTTCTGGAGCTGAGCCTTAAAAGATGAGAATTGACCTTATTAAACTCCCTAGTAATAGTTTATACTCTTCATTATATACACTAGGAAGAGCACTTACTTAGAGCACTTTGCCTAGGAAGAGAGGCCATCAGCTGCTTGGAAGTCTTCCTTAGTCTTTAAAGATGTATTATTAGGCTGTTAATGTGCTTTGTATCAAAATAGGATTTACCATATCTGAAAGAGTGCATTGGAAACTGCTGATTAAAGTACACAAGGATTCTGGTCTTGAAAATAACCAGTTTGAGCTGGAGAATATAGGGATTAGAGTCCTGGATCCATGATATTGGGTTCAGGAGGTTAGAGTCCACAAGAGAGGCCCTAGTGAATCAAGTTAGACTGATATTAGGACAGAGATATTTTTCTCCTAGGTCCATTTTATGTAAATTGTGAGCTATGTGGGAGAGCTCGTTAGGAAAACTCAGTTTCTAAAAGAGGTAGAGTGAAGGCAGTAGACCTAAGATCTCATTATGGATCAGTTTCAGTTCAGTTCAATGGACATTTAATAGCTGTTTTTTAAGTATCAGGCTCTAAGCCAGGAGCCCTTGTTATAGAAAGATGAGTAAATTATAGTGTCTGCCCTCAAGGAATAACAGTCTAATTAGGGAGATGAACATGTAATCATTCAATTATAATATAGGTAATCCCTTACTTACAACATACTTGTTATCATGTGGTACTTATGATCATCTGTTTTGGGGAAGGATTTTTTTTTTTTTTACATTTTATGGTTAATAATATGTACTGTATGGAGTGTTGCAGTGTGCAATTTGCTAATGTTGTCCTTCTCATACTAGTCTGCAAAGACAAATAAAGACCAGACTTTTGAAGCCACTGATATGTATTCAACTTAAGTGAGAACTGACTTAGAATGGTGTCATCATAACAGGCTCTAATTGTAAAAATCAGGGACTACCTGTACAGCCAGATAAAGAATGTAATGGAGAAAAAGACTTGATAAAATTGAAACTCAAGCATTTATCTCAATTTGAGTGAATGAGTCAATCTTCATAGGTTTGATGGAAGAGCAAAGAAGATGAGTTCAATTTTAGTTATGTTGAATTCTAAGAGTTGAGGGACATTCAAGAAGAAATGTCTAGGAGAGTGTTGAATACACACTGTAACATATAAAAGAAAGTATAGTGCTGTATAAAATACTCCTTACAAATTCAGAGGCTTAAAACAACAACTTTTTAGTATTACTCACAGGTCTACTTATCTACAGAGCAGTTTTGTTGATCTTGGCTGGGTTCACTCATGCACCTGCAGTAAGCTGTCAGTTGACTAAGAAGCAGATTGGGTAGAACGAAAGGGGGTTTTGTCCCTTTGTCTCCTACATTCCTCTTGCAGGCTAGCCCTGGCATGTTCTCATGCAGTAGTGAGGAACATGAAAGAGAAGACTCAATCATTGTAGAAACATGCAAGGACTTTTTATGACTCTACTCATGTCACTTTTTCTACTAATTGGCCAATCAAGTCACGTAGCAAAAGCAAGTTCTGTAATAGAGTCACTATAAAGGGACACTACACAAACGGAATGGATATTGTTACTACTTAAATACCATCAATTTGACCATGACTCTTAGAAACCCAATGACCAACATATCAGAACATTGCCTTATCTTGTACCATCCTCAATCTCTGCCACACTTGAGTCCATTGTTGCAGTCGCTGTTTCAGTCCATCTTGTTGATGGCCATTCTCTCTTTGCTGACCCTATCACTTTCCTGGCATGCTATCTTTTTCCAAGGAATGGCCCCTCCTGACAACATGCTTAAAAGTGTATGGGACTAAGTTTCATCATTCTTGCCTTCAAGGAGCACCCTAGTTATACTTTCAACAAGCTAGAGTTGTTTTTTCTTTGGGTAATCTATAGTATATACAACTGTAGATCTTTGCTGAAAGCAGAGTACCAGAAAGATGTCTATTTGTGTTTATTGACTATGAAAAGACATTTGAATGTGTGGCTCACATCAAATTGTGGCTGATACTGAGAAAAACTGGAAAAACAAGAACATGATTGTGTTCTGGCCCTATGCCTAGACCAGGAAGTTGTCATATGAACAGAGCAAAGAAACACTGAATGGTTGAAAATAAAGAAAGGATCCTTTCTCCACACCTTTTTTTTTTTAAAAAATTGATATTTTAATGAAAGATTATAGAGAACTTGGATTTTCATTCATTCATTCATTCATTCATTGTTGTACATTTTCCTCTCTGCCCACCCCTCCTCCCAGTTTGCTTTTCTCTTTGAAAGGAAAAAAAAATCCTTCATTGTTATACAATCCCCCACACCCCAGTCCACTTTACTATGAAGCTCCTACTCTGGACTCTTGTCATGCCAACAATACCTAATCATATATCCCCTTTAAACAGTTCTCTTCCTCATTTGTTTCAATGCAGTGTACATTATTTATCCCCTCTTTTCCTAGTTTCTCCCCAAATGCAATTTCAGTCCTGTTTTATAACAGTGACATTTTGCAGTATTTGGGTTTTTGTGACTGAGATATTTTACTCAACAGAATGTCATCCAGGGTCACCCATTTTGTATAATATTTCATGAGTTCCTTATTTTTCAGTGCTGCATAATATTCCATTGTGTGACTATACCACCGCTCCTCTGATGGGCACTTGGGTTGTTGCTAACTCTTTGCTATTGTGAACAAGGCAGCAGAAAACATAGATGTGCATATATCTGCTTGAGTGGCAGTTCTAGTTTCTTTAGGGTATATTCCCAGTAGTGGAATTGCTGGGTCAAATGGTAATTCTACTTCCAACTTTTTGAGAAAGCGCCATACTACCTTCCATTGTGGTTGCACCATTCTACATTTCCACCAACAGTGAATAAGGGTTCCAGTTTCTCCATAACCTCTCCAGCATTTGTTGTTTGCTGCTCTGTTGAATTTTGCTATTCTTACTAGAGTGAGATGGTATCACATAGTTGTTTTCATTTGCATCTCTCTTCGAGCTAGGGCTTTTGAACATTTCTTCATGTGTTTGTTGGCCATCTGAATGTCTTCTTTGGTGAAGTGTTTGTTCATATCCTTTGCCCATTTTGCAAATGGGTTGTTTACATTTATCTTGTTGTGGTGCTCTCCATGCCTTTTCAATCTATATGAACAGATCATTCAGGATGTTGGACTGTATGAAGAAGAATATTGCATCAGAATTAGAAGAAGACCCATCAACAGCCTGTGTTATGCAGATGATACAACCTTGCTCCTTGGAACTGAGAAGGACTTGAAGCATTTGTTGCAGAAGGATAAGGACTATAGGCTTCAATATGGGTTACCTCTCAACATAAAGAAAACAAAGATCCTCACCACTGGGCCAATAGGCAGCATCATGATAGGTGGAAAAAAGAC